AAATATTCCCTGGTTTTAAATAAACTGCAAAAGGTTGATAACCCATAAAATAAAATATGTCAGTCAATCCCGTATCAAACCAGTTCACGAATGAAGCCTTTTTACTTGTTTTAATTACATTAATATCAAATTAATCGAGCAAGTATTTGAATAAATTTGGAAGGAAACAAATTACCTGTATATCTTTCTCTAGACGAGTAAGAACCTTACTTATATACTTCAGAGTATTTTCGCGGTTTTTCAAGGGATATACAAAATATTTTCTATATTATAAAGAAACAGTAAGCTGACTCGAAAAGTTATATGAAAAGCCCAGCCTTCAGGATTTAGCACTATCCACATCTGCCAATTTCCCAAAAATGCAATTTCAGAGATTACTTTTTTTACGTACAAACACAGAATCAATAGATATTTGGTTGACAAAGCCAAATTTGGCACACAAATCTATTCATAGTGCACCCGAAGATGGGGGATTAACATGCTTATGCTCGCTCTTCTGTTGGCCCACTCAGAATAGATTCGATACTGATTTTCGCAATACATATTCACCATTTCCCATTTCGAAAAATAATTACGCACAGCTATATGTGTATATATATATATATATATATATATATATATATATATATATATATATATATATATATATTGTACGTTCTGATTATCCAACAAGCTGGGTTTAAAGCAACTGTTGATATGTACCGACGTCTGCAGGCCAGTAGAGTGGAAATCGAAACATCAATCATTTTTTTTCTTTTTCATTAGTAAACTTGCATTTATTCGATTACCCTTCAAATGACGTTTCGGACGCAGTTCTTATTTTCCTCTAAGCCGCAAGTTTCTGGTCTGTTTCGTTCCATATAACAATGAAAATTGGTTATTTTACAAAAAGCATTAGGCGTCGGAGAAATTTAATATGGTTGCTTTTCTTTATTTTACGAATTTTTTAAAGCATTTTTAATTTAGGAAAAAATAATTTAATCGTGTGTAAAGAGATAACATTATTACTAACCAGACTCTCCTCTGTAGCTAAATTGGTAAAGCACGTCAGGCTATATGACGGTTCCAAGTAGGATACGGGTTCGATTCCAGTCGGCTAACACGTATTTTCTTTGAGATTTTTCGGACATTCAGGACGGTAAATGTTGTTAATAATGTTTATTATAAAACAGAACATTTGCTTAAATATTTGTGTCTATACAAATAACGTATAACAATAAAATATATTAAAATAACATTATTTATATCCACAAATGTTTCTGTTTCTATTTTACTTAATCATACAATTAGTCTCTGAATACAAGAGGGTAATAATAAAGGGATCGAAATTTTTCCACTATGCAATAAATGGGGTTCTTAATAAGTGGTAGGAAAATCATTTAAAGGGACGAATTATGCTAAATTAATATACAAGTGTGGGGTTAGTGAGTTCAGGATGGATCGAAAAATGTCGTAAAAATAGAAATGTATCCGTTTCTGACCAGCCGATAATATTAACCATGAATTTAAATCTAAATGCACACATTTCATATCAAGCAAAGGAGTGGATAGCGGCTCAGATTGAGGAATCGGAGAGCCGAGTTCGAATTCAAGTCGAATCCATGCTAATAACCTTGGGAAAGTTATGAATCCTCTTCATCTCCCCTCGGCTATGGGTAAATAGTAAGAAAAACTGAATTAACACTGAATTCAAAACCGGATCCTAAAAGTTGCGGGTTGTATAGTAGGGTAACAACCTACTCGCTTAAAAACTAGTTTGCTATCGAAAAGGCAACGATATCTTGCGTCCCTATGTTCCTCAAAGAATTTAAACGCCATAATATATATATATATATATATATATATATATATATATATATATATAAAATTAATTGATTTAAAATATGGTTTTTTCGCTACACAGTTCCAACCATGTTTCAAAAATAGAAGCTAAAAACCCCGAATTTAATTTTGCAATTAAATTAAAAGCATTAGTTCCATTTCATCTTCAAGCGAATTTTGGAGTAACTTTTAAAGTGGGTTTATTTCCTTGCTTGGGGTGAAATGATTAAAAATAAAATAAAAAATCCGCAATTGTTGGACGAAAAACGATGTCTGCTTTCGATTACATGTAGGTCAGTACAAGTAAATGCACTGAACGAAGTCACTGGTCCAGATAATATATAAGTAATATAAAGAAAGATACGTATTATCTAGAAAACTAGTTCAAATTACGATTGCCACTTCCAGCTGTTATTTCATGATAAAATTCCAAATAGAATGAATCTAACACTATATATTTTGTTCATCTGTCACTGTCAGTCATTATGATGGATACGTTGTCACAAGTTCAGTAAAAAGAATTAAGGACAAATCTCAATAAATAGAATCCGACTCTACTCTGGTTTACATCACAATGCATTTTATTTCATTTTCAATTTCTTCTGATATTCCAATGAGAAAATTCGATAGTATTTAACGTGATGGATTTAATTACATAAACTGCAGTTGATCTTATTCTTATTCTTTTATGCTATTAAGAGTTTTTTTTTTCATTTTTCTTAGAATTTCATTATACCCTATATTTTCTTTTCTCTTTTTTCGCATATATTAGTAAAATTTACACATTTTTCTCAAAATACGGAAAAGAAGTTTTGCTAGATAAGCTCTTCTACATAGGGTCTGTGTTGTGATGCGAAAATATTACTAATACTTTATTCTGAAGCATTTTTTTAAAAATTTTACCAGGAATCAGCATTGGTGGCCACAATCTTACCAAAATAAGATACACAGACGACACAGTACTGATAGCAGACACGGAAAAGAAACTACAAAACCTCCTACAGAAGGTATCGAACGAGAGCGATAAGAAAGGATCTAAGCATAAACTACAAGAAGACAGAATGCTTGGTCATCAGTAAAAGGATGAGCCTGAAATGCGATTTACAAGTCGGTGACATCAAGCAGACACGGAAGTTTAAATATCTGAGAAGTGTTTTGACAGAGGACAGTAGATGCGACGCTGAGATCCGTAGACGTATTGGAATGGCCAAGGATGTATTCCAAAAGTTGGCAGTGTATTGCAAGACAAGAGAATTTCTTTGGTAACAAAGAAAAGAGTACCAAGTTTCTACGTGAAATCTGTCCTCCTTTACGGCAGCGAATGTTGGACGGTCTCCTCAAAGATGAAGAACAGACTCGAGGTAACGGAGGTATGGTTATACAGAAGGATGCTAAGGATATCGTGATCCGAGTGCGAACCGAGCGTGTGAGCAACGATGAGCGTTCGAAGAGGATGCAAACAAGGAGCTACGTTATACATCAGGAAGCGGCAGCTGAAGTTTCTGGGACGCATAATGAGAAAGGAGGGGAATCTGAGACTCACATGTTGAATAGAGTGAAAGAGAGACAAGGGAAAGCAACGCCTGACATACCTGGCGGGCTTAAGCAAATTGATGACAGAAAGTCGTCTGGGGGAGGAGGCAGAGCTACGAAACTTAAGGGGTGGGGAAGTGGAGAGCTATGGTCGCTTACGTCCTGAAGGAACACGGCCCATGAAAATAAATTTTGCATCAATGAAACTATCGACGCCAGAAAATGTAAGCATTGCAAATTAAGGTATAATTTTTTTTTAAGCATTTCACCCCAAGCAAGGCGAGAAGCCACTAGGACGCAAGTGGTTACAGAAGATCAGATAGGAGTGATAGAAGAAAGGATGAGGAGAAGGGTAGTGGATAGATCAAGGCAGCTGGAGATGTCGATTGACATTACATTTGAATAGCTAGAGATTATAGCTCTCAGGGAAACTGGAATAGGGAAGGGAGATCCACAGGCGAGAGGTGCGAGACATGAAGCTATTGGAATAGAAGAGACGGCTACATTTAGGAGTTTCGACTGAAAGGGTGAGAGTGGGATGCCAGCCTCCTAGGGCGCTTGAATTCATGAAGACTGGGAATCAGCGAATGCAGCTCCTCGGAGCAATTGCTATGAAAGTATTTGTAAAACAGACAGAGAGAGGCGACGGCGCATCTGTGAGAAAGTGACTGTAGACGAGATGCCAGAGCAGGGCCAATTATATCGCATATCCGCCTCTGGAGCCTATCAAGAACCCCGAGGCAAACAGAAGGTGCTCCAGGCCATATATGACAGCAATGTATATATATATATATATATATATATATATATATATATATATATATATATATATATATATATAAGCATTACGCCCTGAGCAAGGCGTAAAGCCACTAGGATGCAGGGGGTTGCAGAAGGTTTGGAGCGAGAGCAGATAGGAGTGATAGAAGAAAGGATGAGGAGAAGGATAGTGGATAGATCAAGGTAACTGGAGGTGTCGATTGACATTACATTTGAATAGCTAGAGATTATAGCTCTCAGGGAAACAGTAATTGGGAAGGGTGTTCCACTGGCGAGAGGTGCGAGGTATGAAGCAATTGGAGTAGAAGAGACGGCTACATTTAAAAGTTTCTACAGTGTAAGCGTGGGAGCGGGATGCCAGCCTCGTAGCGCGCTTGAATTCATGGAGTCTGGGAATCAGTGAAAGCAGCTCATCGGAGCAATTACCATGAAAGTATTTGTAGAAAAGACAGAGAGAGGCGACGGCGCGTCTGTGAGAGAGTGATTGTAGACGAGGCGCCAGATCAGGCCCAATTACATTACATATCCGTCTCTGCATCTTGTCAAGAACTCCGAGGTAAACAGAAGGTGCCCCAGACCATATATGGCAGAAATTACGACAATATTTCATTCAATGTTCGAGAAAGTTTATCTTCCAAATAATTTTCTCTAACACTACCTCGAGTTAACAGGAGTACATAGGTTCGGCGGTTGTCCAGTTCACACTCCTTCCTGTTGTTTTAAATAGGAGGGGGGATGTTTTTCGCTTGTTCCCTGCTAAAAATTGGTTTCCCGATTCCTTCGAGAAAGTCTTTTCATTTTCTTTCACTACCGGTAACCCGTTGCGTCTTAGTGTCATTATCACCTTGCTTGGGGTGAACTGATACCTATATAGATAGATAGATAGATAGATAGATAGATAGATAGATAGACAGACTGTCGTGCAAAACTTTTGGGCCACCTTGGTAAATGAATTACTTTTGTTAATTTTACACCCAAATCAAGTGATAAGCAGTCTGCTTTTCTCAGTATATTTTAAGTTATTTTGAGGGGGTGCAGAAAAATGCAGTATGATTGGACTTCATAAAAATAGTGATGATGCCAAAATTTCAGCTCTTTTCTTCAGCTAAAAAGGAAAGAATTATTTTACAAATATAATCTTTATTATTACTGTTATGGTCCGGTTATGTACTACGGTGATAGTCCAAGGTAGAACCAATAAAGAACTCGAAGTCGGATATAGAATAACACAGATATATTACAAACAGGAATATATACAGAGAAGTAGAAAGTGTTACTACGTACAATCAGCTTTAGTAGTAATTGTCTGAACGCAACTCTGTTTCGGACTGCCTCTGACTCGACTGACTGACTTGTTCTGACTGACTGACAGACTCCTGACGGACTTCACTCCAGACTTCAGACTTCACTCCAGACTTCAGACGGAACTCCCTGCTTCCTCTTGAGGCGCAGTATTTATTACGTATGGGCTAGTCCATTATGTTCTTATGGGTAAGGTCCTATAACAATTACAGAAAGTGCAAAATATCAAAGTATGAAATTAGTAATTAGTACGTTAACTTTGGCTCGAATAATTGTCTAGTTCGCAATGTCATTGAATAGAACACGGTTCAGATTTTCTCATTGAGAATATTTTCCAATTCTTGGCAGTAATCGCACACTCTTGGGGATTTTGTTGTTTTCGTTGTAATGATTGTTTCTTCAGTTTCCACTGCAATAGTACTTTGTGTTGGCCAATCTTCTAAAAGTTGAACATCTTCAAATAGGAGAATCCTTTTTATTGCAGGTTCACGTGATATGTGGCAAGGGACATGGTAACGCTGAAATATTTCTCTATCTACGTAGTCTGACAGAAGATTAGCCTGTAGTAAAATAGTATAGTTTTCCACAAAGTTTTACCATTTTTTCTACCATCGATGTTGATGCAACCTCACATCATAACCTCACCTCAAAGATAGTGCACATGTGCCCACCGTCGTTGTGGTGTATCTTGTATTGCTTGTCTACATTTCTCCCACTGATTTACATGTTGTCTTGCATTAGAATGTAACTCTGTTATCCTTCATCACTAAAACTGACTTTTTGTCACTTTCCAGATATGTTCGTTTGACCGCTTCAATCTTCTGTTCCGATATTTAATTTCCTTAATGAGTCTTTTCTGTTGCTATACTCATGTTCAAATTGTCTCGTCTTAATACTTTGTCTACTGTATTAACTAAAACCTGTTAAAACTGCATCCATTCTTTTATCTGCAATCAGTTTCTTCTGCCATAAATTTATTTTTTTATTTATTTTTATTTATTTATTTATTTATATTTATTTATATTTAATTATTTAATTATTTATATTTATTTATTTTTATTTATATTCATATTTATTTATTTATATTTATATATAACTTTTTTTATAGACTGAGCCGCAATCAAATTTGCATAAGTGGAATGAGCTTCCCGCGAAATTATCCGACTCCCAGATTTTTAAATATACGTCTCTTAAAGACACCATTTTCTTTTTGGGAATATTTCACACGCGAGACACGTCCGAATCCGTTTTCTTCCAGAAGGTAAGCCATTTTCTTTAGTGATATAATGCCTCCCGATTCTGGATCGTCGACCGAAACTCTCACAATCATTCTTTAATCACTTGTCTAACATTTGTGATTTTCCACATTTCTTTACTCTTAAAACACGACCAGAGCTAGCAAACGTCTTGTCAGTAGGTCGAACAGTGTTTCTTGAACGTTTTTTCAGTCGGTTGAACAGTGTTTCTTGAACGTCTTTTCAGTCGGTTGAACAGTGTTTCTTGAACGTCTTTTCAATGGGTTGAACAGTGTTCCTTGAACGTCTTTTCACCGGGTCGAACAGTGTTTCTTGAACGTCTTTTCAGTGGGTAGAAAGGTGTTTCTAATAAATTATAGCTTCTGTTTTACGACCTCCATTTCATGGCCATCACTGTTTATTTCGGAAATTGCATAAATTACTAGTGTTACTTTGCTGCACGTTATTTTTGAGATTTCTGGCCTTTTGTCCATTTATAATTGTTCTTTGCACACGCACACAAACACACACACACACACACATATATATATATATATATATATATATATATATATATATATTGTCTATTTATTATTGTTATATATATATATATATTGTCTATTTATTATTGTTAAATATATATTGTCTATTTATTTTTATTATATATATATATATTGTCTATTTATTATGGATATATATATTGTCTATTTATTATTGTTACATATATATATATATATGGTGTCTATTTATTATTGTTATATATATATATATATATATATATATATATATATATTGTATATTTATTATTGTTATATATATATATTTTTTTTTCTATTTATTATTGTTATATATATATATATATTGTCTATTTATTATTGTTATATATATATATATATATTGTCTATTTATTTTTGTTTTATATTGTCTATTTATTATGGATATATATATATATTGTTTATTATTCTTACATATATATATATATATATATATATATATATATATATTGTGTCTACTTATTATTAGTTTATATATATATATATATATATATATATATATATATATATATATATATATATATATATATATAACACTAAGGATATCCATACCATTATCGTCAACACAATGGGCACAATCATGTGCAAAGCATTGCTACCAAAGCATCAGTAAAAATACATTTAAAATAATACTCTAATATTTCATTATCTTGTGTTTGTAATTAACATTTAATAAGCACTAAGAATGTGACACTTAAAAAAGAAAGGATTTCAATGATTTGAAGTGTATTTAATGAGTATATTTAGCGTTGACTGATATCATCGTTATTTAAAGCTATTGTGTGTTTTAATCAAATTAACGTTTGGTGGTGTGGTTACGTGCTGACGAAATATTAATGACCCAAAAAACATTTTTCTGACGGCATTCAATGAATACAAAACTAAATTCAATATCCTTTCACATTATTTCAACGGAGTAACGTTGAAATCATTTAAACCCCAATCTAATCTGCATAATACAAACCAGGCAAGTACAAAAATTTCCATATAAGTCTAAATGTGAAAACTATTGTACATATTTTTATATAAACACACGCGTTCACATTGATGCCGATACACACGCATGTACTCGAGCTTGCTCACAAAAAACACCATAATAACAAATAAATTGATATCTAATAAAGAAAAGAATTCTATTTATGCGCCATGTTACGGCAAAGCATGGTTGATAGTTCTCCGCAGTTTCTTCTATTTTGTTGCATTAATTAAATTTTCACGCTGTACAGTTCACTTTTTTCTCCTTTCTACTAACAATTCACGTAAAATCTTTAATTCCCTCGCCTAGGAAGAGCAGACTTGAAATAACAGATGTGATTCTAAAAAAATAAAAAATAAAAGTTGCTGAGGGTACCATAGACGGAACATGAGGGCAACGAGATCGTTTAAAGAAAATAAATAAAATTTATGAGAACGAGTTGAATTTTCATGGATATACAATGTGGAAAGAGTGCTTGGAGAATTTGAATATTGGAATTCTGGAAACATTAGCAGAATGAGTGCTTCTGAATGCTACAAACACTCAGTGATGGCTCACTATCCATAGACAGATTGTGTCTGTTCACGCGCAGGAAGTAAATTCTCCTCTTATTGATTGACTATCTACATCGAAGCAGGGCAGCCCGGTTTTCATATAGCCATGATGGTTCGAGCTTTCCACAAATTCTGGTATATCTACATATATTCAATTGATTCCATATTCTAAATTAGTATTTCTAATTTGCAAATATATTAATGAATATCATCTGCAACTTGAATTAAGAAAGACATTACTATGTAAATCTGTCATAATAATGAAGATGATTATAATGTGTGACCGATGTATAAAGATAATATATAATTGGCCATATTAAGAAACTAATTCTTCCTTAAAAATATTCCTTTTGTAGGCATATATATATATATATATATATATATATTACTGTTTTTTAACTACAATTCTTCATGATATTCTCTCGTACATTCATATCTGGTGGATGCGTAACCAAATGTAAACATGTTTACATTTAGATACACATTTAGATACGCATCGAGAAGATGTGAATGTACGTGAGAAAATCATGGAGAATTGTAGTTTAAAAACAGTAAAATCGACTTTGCTAACCGAAACGGTCCTCTGGGTAAATCGGTAAAGCACGCCAGGTTATACGACGGTTCGAAGTAGGATACGGGTTCGATTCATGAGGACGCATATTTTCTATGAAAATTTCTCGGACATTCAGGCCGGTAAATGTCGTTAATACTGTTTATTATAAACAGAGCATTTACTTAAATATTTGTATCTATAAAAAGAACGTATAAACATAAATGCCTTAAAATAATTGTCGGACTTTGTACATTTCATAAAGTGTGACATCATTTGTTTACATTTGGATACGCATCGAGGAGATAAGAATATATGAGAGAAAATCATGGAGAATTGTTGTCTAAAATATATAAAGCATAATTGTCCCTTCCACAAAATGTTTCATATCTATAAATCCTCTAAGTTAATTTGGTGTCGTTTTTCAGATTAGATATTTAGCCATCTTTGCACCAGTTGTCGTAAGAATTACTAAAAATCCCTTATAATTATCCAGCTAGAACGAGAACAGGTTAAAATCGTTTTGTGTCAGTCCCACTGTCTTAACTAAGAAATGGTGCGAAGAAAAAAATCATTCAGGCTTTCAGTAATGTTATAAACATTCATGCTCTGACTTCCATCTTCAAATTCCATTCAAGAACCATCAAGAGAATGGTGAATAAGTTTTAAAAAGTGGGAACATAGCGAGGAAAACTGTCAGGATGTCACAACAGAAAAAGGATCATCATTTTAACTTAGAGCTAAAGAGATCAATTAAGAAAAATCCAACTCAATCCATAAGATGATGGACAGGCGAGAGAGGAGTTTCAACTATGACAGTCCAAAGAGCAATGAAAAAAGACTTGAAAATTAAATCGTCGTGAAACGTGTGAGTCACCTTGATACGCCACGAAAGATAAACGGAAACAGAGGGCAGAATCATCTTGAATAATTTGTAAATAATCCTGGAATTATATATATATATATATATATATAATTGAACTTTATTTCAATCGTTCATAAGCTTCCGATCCTTAGGTATATTTAATTAATGCTGAACATGTTATTTTCGCTTATGATCCATTTCATCACGATTCTTCTGTTAAGCTTGCTCAGATAAGTCCAGTTGTGTTATTAAAATCTCGGAAAATTCCAATAAAATATCTTGAATAATTTCTAACATACAACGGCTAACAATTTATCTGTTACACGATTTGAACAATTTTGCTGTTACAGCTGGTATATATATATATATATATATATATATATATATATATATATGTAGACACGACATCTTGAACTTACGACCTGCGTCTGCTATTTCCCGACCGTTATATGGCAACACAAAAAAAATCATATTCGATCGTTAAAATATCCAAATGTTGGACAATTTTGTCTTTATTTTTCGAAAGATATATATATATATATATATATATATATATATATATATATATATATATATATATATATATATATAGTTGTATATTTAGGCAGCAATCCTTCCTTTATACATGTTTCATTAAAAACGACAGACAAGGTACTACGGTTGAGCTTTTTATTTAATTTTCTTGTGTTCTGACAAGAGCTTTTCTTTCTGGACAAAGGGTGTGTAAGAACTGGCCGAATGTTTTGTATTTCCGAGCGCTTTCGGCTATACCTTTTTTAGCCATTATCAAGGATGATTGATTATCAGCTTAGTAGAGTGTGCATTCTGTGTATGTTCAGTGTGTGGTAGTGGTGTTTTAATTTCCTTGTCTGTCGTTTTTAATATACATATATATATATATATATATATATATATATATATATATATATATATATATATATAGAAATTATAATTGGCGTCTCACGCATTGTATTCAAATGGGTAACTTAGATATGAGTAAAATCATTTCAAATAGTTGCATATAAGTGTATGAATTTCTATTGAGATACACTTTCATACATGATCCGCATTGTATTCAAATGGGTAACTTAGATATGAGTAAAATCATTTCTACGCATGCATGCAAATAGTTGCATATAAGAGTATGAATTTCTATTGAGATACACTTTCATACATGATCCTCTA